AAAACCAATAGATAGATTAGGAAATTAAAAGAATATTTTTTGATCACTACAACTGGCTTCAACACAGAACTTTTTCTAAGAATTCATTCAAAGCAGGGTGAAGAGACACTTGTCATATGAGAGAAAACCTTCGCTGAAAGTTGAACAACTGAAAAAATTTGGAACAGAACAGTTGTCGAAAACGGTATGACAAGAAATCACCATCATATGTTGAGCGCAATGAGCCCCACCCAACGAAGAAAAAAAAAAAAAAAAGAAGGAATTATTACATCAAAATTCACTGCTCTCCGACTCTCTTTCCAAATCTCTTTCTCTACAGAGCAGCAAAGTAGCGAATTGAACGCTCCAGATGACTTGTTCTCATAAAAGTCATTCGGGCAACAAAACCCCTCCAATAAAAGATAAAAGAACATGGAAACACTCAAAAATGATTCCATGTAAAAATACACCCAAATGAACAGCACCTAGACATGAAGAGTTAAAAAAAATGCTTATTTCAAAAACCCAAGACACTCAAGTATGAAAACAGTAGCGCGAGATAAAAACAAAAATGTACTAATATTCTGAAAACCGACAAGTATTTTCAAAAAAAATTTGACATTCTCTTCTTCCCTGAGGAAGATTCTGAACTGCAGTTTCATTTTCCGACTTTCAACAACTTACTTTTTCTGGTACCTTATCCAGGCCAAATAAAAGAGAAAAAGTTAGTCTCTTTATTCTTCCGTAACGTTTTTCTCAGTTTATTTTTCCGCAAAACGATTGGCGTGAATTATTGCATTTTCTACGTATGTGACAACTGCCTCATTTCTAACAATTGTCCGTTGCTAAACTGCCGCTACATTTTTCAAAAATTTTCTTTAAAATAGGAGAGCTCATTTTCAAAAATAAGCTACTTGTGAACAAAAACTGTTGCAATGACTTTCCTAAAAATAATTAAAAAGCAGAAACGTGTCACTATAAACCAAATTTGATATTTTGTGAACCTTAGTAAAGCTATTTTCACAGCACTTACGAAGTAAGAACATTTGTAACGAAGACCTCGCTCACTATTTGTGACAGATTTCGCTGAAGTCACTTTCTTGAAAATGCAACGAACATCACAATTCGGAAGCGATAACGGAAACTTGTTGAAGACACAAAGAGACATTTTTAGTAATTCACCAGGAGTAGCAATAATCTGAGGAACAGTGGAAGAAAGTGTTGCCCGTAAAGGTATGTAACGCTTCGACATCTCTGGGGACCACCTTAAATAAAATCTAAGTACGCATATATAATTATCATAAAAAGCAAAAATCCGGTTTTTTTCAAAAAAATTCGAGAAGATCAAAATCCTTCATCGTTCTTAAATTAGAAACCAAACTGAAAGGTACATCGACCAATTTTTTGGTGAAATACTTACATAGGCTTCCCAATGTTTCCTTTCTCAAGCACTTCTATCAGTTTACGACAATAAAATACAGACTCTTCCTCATCTTCTCCTTGTAATGACAAAATCGCATAAAACTGTACCATCCTGTAATAAAATGAACCTATAATCCCTCATATGCCTAAAATTAGTTTGTTTTGAAAAAAAAAAAATAAGGCACAACATCACAAACTGTTGACAAACCTTAGCGGCTCTAGAAAAGCTTTTTAAGAAAGAGAAGTATTAATTGCTATCTTACTCTTTGGCATATACTTCAAAAGAGGGCTCCAGATGTTTAACCACAGAAGACAACAGCTCAGCAAGTAAAGAGGATTCGTCACGAAGAAACAAAAAAATAACTTTCATTAGGTAAGGAACAGCAACCTTAGGACGGTTAAAACCACTGAAACAACTAAATTAAATCGCTGGAAACAAAAAATAGAGTGCGGTGACCACACTTTGCTCGCTTATTATATTACATACAAGGAAAGAGAAAGTAGCAGCCAACAATTACAGTAGGAACATCGAGCAAAAAAGGAGTTAAAACACGATTGAAATAATTCGCTTTTAGAAAACAAAAGTCAGAAAGTTAAAAAGAGCTGCTTTTTAAAAAGTTATACTGATTAGACAAAAACGAGAAAAACCACTACAGGAGAAGAAGTGCAAGGTCATATTCAATCAAACGCTGCTGCCGTTCCCATCCATACTGTTCCAAAAGAATGACTGCATTTTCAAAGCACTTGTGAACAAAGTTTGCAAATCGTTCATCTTCGCGAATAGAATCTCTAAAAACTGCATCACTAAACACCGATGTTACGGTAAAAACAAAACCAAATTCTTAGACAGTCAGGAAAACGAGTTCATAAATGATATACAGACCTAAGCTCGACAATAACGCTTGGACAGTTGATTTCCTCAAGAAGTTTTGTACCACCGTTAAGCCACGTTAAGAACGAAGCAGTTTCATCTTTCCTAAACCTGCACAAGGGACCGAGCTGGAATTTCTGGTAAGATTGTACTAATTTTTACGCGGAGGAAAAAGAATTACCAGCAAGAAATAAATTATCTTGGTTGTAATGTTAGTGCAAAGGTATCAATATATCTGCTAATACTGATACAATGTTAGTTTAGAAATGCCAAAAAGACTAACCGCCTTGCATTTGAGGACTGATAAAGAACAAACAAAGTATGAAAGGTTTTTAGCGAATGTATCTTCAACCACCATGTTGACCC